GCGGAGCTGCTGGACCAGCTGCACCACTTGCGTCAGTCACTCTCCTACCGTACCAACCGAGTTGAAGTAAACCGTCGACCGTTGGGGACCCCATCCCTCCCCAACATTCAGCATACGGCCCCAGCAGAAACGCCAAAAGGGCTGGTTTGCTTACCTCGTTAAAGAAGGCAGCACTGATAAGAGTTGCATCAATGTGCAAATCAAAGAAAGAGCAAAGAAGCGGTCCCCTTTCTTGGGCTCTGGGCCGTTTCTCATGGTTTTTTGTTCACCCCTGCACTTACTGACCTCTGCCTAAATTTCTAATGAGGTGCCCTTCCATCCTAAACTCCGCATTTAGAAGTGGATTTCACGGTAAACTGTAGGCTGAAGAGGGGAATATATAATACCTACCGTAAAGGGTGGCAGGCTTTTCAAGAGTGCGGGACAATAGGCGTCTCGGTGCGAAAGGCCTTGGAGGGACGTGCCTGCGGCGCTCGTGGCTCTGATGCCCACTGACTGGCTGATCCCTCGCCGTCAGACTCTAACTAACTCTAGCTGTTAGAGTACATAGGAGAACGTTCACGTTGATGACCTTAGCAGCGATGAAACTCCGTCCCCGTCGTCCCAACACGGAAATCAACCGGAGTGAGTGGGATCCCAATTCACGGGTTTCGGGCCGTTCTCCCTAATTTTTCTCCACCCCTGTACCACTCATCAGCTCTACGTTCTTTCCAGTGGCGACCAGTTTATCCTAAAAGTCGCTTTAAATTAATTAATCAGCGAGAACGCATAGATGCGAAGCTTCAAATGCAATGAACTTACCATTTAAACAGTAGCGTAACTACCATACAATGGAATATTCAGACGCGTTGCCGAGAAGGGCTTACCATTTCTCGGTAAGTGGGTCGATGCGCCATGCATATTACATTGGTGGAGAAACGGATTTTGACGAGGAGGAGTGTAATACACTACGAGTCATCGACATGTTCAAGGGTACAAACACGTAAGTTTCACCTTGATTTTTTGTTATTCTATCACTTACCGAAATATAATTTCAGAGTATATGAGCTTACGGAAAATCTTGCACTGATCTGCGTGCTTTATGAAGTCATGATGAAGTCCTTGACGGTATAGCGCTTGTAGGCGCAGGCGACGACAACAGTGTTACGGTAGGAAAATGAAGATTTTTCTGTGGACTACAGTACGCGGTCCGAGAAGGCAGCCTTACAACCTTGTGGGATTGTCCATTTCCATAATTATGAAGAAAATACGCGCCAATAGAACTATGTCGAATAGAGCGTTCGCTGCGAGTCTGACCTCTGCCTCCGGGCAGCATCTCGCCTGACCTAATGTATGAGTTCAACAGAAGCAAAGCATACTCCGAAGCTAGGGCGCTAATAACAAGCAATACCAGGATGTCTTTTTTGGATTGAATGTGGGTCAGGAAAACCCGCGTTGCAGCGGGCGCAGCAACTAATATCGTACGTTTCGGCACCACTTAAGGTACTGTATCGATTGAATCAACATCCGTCCCACGTTTGTGTAGTTGATGGGAAGGAGTTGGAGCCCACGGAAGTCCTTTCCCTCTTATTTATGTCCCACAGGAAAGCGTTTGAATCGTCTCAAGTATCTCTTTAAGGGCCCCGGATTTTCCATCGAGCACATAGCTACCTATCGAGAAAGAGCATGGCAGTGAGATGAACCGTGGCTGCTGTTTCGAAAGCTGCCGCCACCGCAAAATAAAACGCAGGATGCACAAGGCCCAATGTGCCCTCGTGGGGGGGAGTGGGCTTTAAGGAGGCCTCTAGGACCAAGCCTAAGCAGCAGGGATGAACTTCGGAGAATGCTAAAAGAATTTCCGCACACCGGTTCTGCCCCCTCCTCATTAGTCCTGAAACTGACAGCATTTCCGTAATCCTGGCGCGACTTCATGAACCACATTGCGCCGGCGCACAATATTATGACCCTTAACAAGTTGACGAAATGATACAGTAAACCGAGCTGAGAAATGCCGTCGCTTAGTTTCAACGCGCCGTCGCAGCCCGAACTTCCTGACCCACACCCTATCTCTCAACAACAATCAAACGTTAACAAGACCGGAGCACTGGGTGAGACAGAAGTACAACTATTAGGCAGCCTTTATGACACGAAAAGTATTAGTGAAAAATAAAAAACCGGGACTCGCGGTCACTGTTCCAGATATCGAGAAACACGGATAGACCACAAGTCGAAACGGCTGATTGACACAAAGAGTTTGCTGACAATCGGTTCTATCTCCGGCGAGCGCGGCAGATGGTCGTGGAATAGCACGCGGTAAGTGATTATACAGTACCCTTATAGAGCAATAGTCGACCCAGTTCCTTACAGCACAGTCTCATCTCTTGATAGAAGGCAGACAGTGCAAAAATTTGGTCGCTCGCTTGGAACGAAAGCAGAGCTATTAAGAAATGCAGCAATGAAGAAAAAAATCAAGGGAAATGGTTTGAAACCCACAAAACGGCCCCTTCTTTTCCCTGTGGGGTTCCGCGTAGGCCGAGTCTTGCTGCGAAGGGTGTGCCCGAGGCCACGGCCCACTTCGCAGCAGAACGCGTACCACTTCGTTTAGAAGATCCTGCTTTCCTTCATAGTGGATATAACTTCCCTTTGGTTGACCTGCGATTTTTAATATTACCTGTCTTCAAACCGATCAGGATTTCCAGAAGCAAAGGCGGTATGATGTTAATGGAATTGGAGCAGGTGGACGGAAAACTTCGCTTATTCGACATTCGGGTCGGTAGTGGAGCAACAATTTGTGCGGGTAAGTTTAGTTAGAGGTTCACTGCATTGATATACTCACCTTCCTTAACACATTGACGACAATGCGAGTTTTGGCTTTTTTGGCCACGTGGGACCGCGGCGATTTTGCGGGCGCGCTCGCCTCAGGTCGTTCAAGCAGATTTTGAGTGATAAATTGAACTTCGTGATGAAACTTTCTATTTGTCTCTAGTAATCACAACTGACATACATAGGGGTGTTAGGAAAGAATGCAAGATTTTCCCGGAAATGATTCCTTTAACGGAGCTATTTCCTTTCTGGCGTGTTTGATGACATCTTTGCGCAGAGTGCAAGTTGGTCGAGGAATCGTACGGCATGCGAGATACTCGCATGTTCAGTCAGGAATCTCGACCCACTGACGTGCACTCTTGCCATGCGCGAGCCATTTGCCCTCCCCGCGCGTAACGTTCACTCTCGTCGCCTCTCTCACACAGTATAGAGCTATGGTCGAGGATTTCCTAGAAAATTATTCACTCTATCTTTGAGTAAAGGACCTGCATAACTTATTATGTGATACCTGGTTAGGCTTTCAGAGGAGCATCTTTATAAGCCGATTCATTGCCCATTTCTTAACAGAGAGAAGTAATTGGCGCGGTGCTTACCTTAGCTTCGCCACGCCTATGCTGTGGGTAGATTTTGAGTTATGGTATTGGGTTGTCATGTGGTAGCGCAGAAAAGGCACCTTTTCTGCCGCTACCACCATGAGCCAATGATAAGAAATACCAATAAGATCACCAAAGCAAACACACTTCTGGCTGACTATCATGGCGAGAATATCTCAATTTCAGAAATCGAACGCTATGAAACACTTGGTTTGGCACCGTACACGCAGCCATGGCAGGACATGACCACTCTCTCTACGTTCGAACGACTAGTAACGCCATTTGGAAGGCTGGCCTATACTGGGCGAATTCTAAGCATCAATGTCCATACGAAAGAGGTTTGTTCAGTGTATTCGAGCATTTTACAAAGGGAAGGTCTGGGCTCAGACTAACCGAAGCTGTCGCTTCCTAAAGCAGGATAAACTGGGTTTTGAAGAAGAGGAAATGTACCTGCTGTGAAACGAAACAGAGGCCTCTATGGGAATGACTGGCACTTTCTTGGCAAAGAGGCGCGGATAGCCACGCTATTGCACCTTTACCCGTCCCCCCCTGTCGCTCGGGCGTGCCCTGCTACGTCCCGGGCTGCCGCTCGCGCTTGCCTACCTCCGATAGCGGGTGGCTTCTGGCTGTCAGAGCGTTGTTGATGTCGATGGCGCCACCACCATTGCAACTCATCTACCGCCGAAATCAGTGCGAAAGAGTAAAGATAAAAGTAGCTCCTGTGATTGATCGTGAAGTTTTCTTAAAACCCCATTTGCATGCCAGTAAATGTTGTTTGCCCCCCCCACCACTGAAGGAGGCCGCTTTTCAGCAAAAAATTCTTGAAGACCCATCGTTCACGATAATAACGAAAAAACGCAAAATTGCATTTGTTTCGTAAATAATTTGAAAGACCGGAATGACTGTTACGAGTTCGAGTCCCCGCCGTACATCTGTCACAAATGCTGGCGGCCTTCGCCTTCACTTGGTTCTCGGAGTACCGTCACTAGAAACTCTTTCTGACCTTTTGACCTATTGCATTAACATCTCACACTTCTATCGATCGTTTTGTATCTTCTCTACAAAATCGCACGCTTTAATCCGACTCTTCCAAGTGCGTGGCCAAGGTAAGTCGCGCTGGGCCGAAGGCGGGGTGTGGAAAGAAGTGGCGCACTTCTTTCCATGCCCTGCCTTTGGCCCTCGCGAGACTTACCTTCGCCTGTCCAAAAAAGAGTTATTCGTAAATTCGTTTCTCTTTTGGAAAATGAATTTTCGGTGCGTGAAACTTTGCATGTTGTCTCTAGTTATCGCAAGTGACATATTACAGCTGGGAACGACAAAGGATTCCTTCAAGCTCAGTCGTCATTCACAGTGTCATTTCAGGTCGAGTACATGCGTCCAGAAGGTTGTCCGTTTGCAGTGCAGGAAGGGCGTGAACTCAGTGCCATCATAAGTGCACCACGTCTGATGAAGCAGATTTATCGGAATGGTCGCCTTTGGATCGTTACCGAAAAAATAGCACACATGGGGGGAAAGCCGTCAGCCTCTGGACGATAAGCAGTGGAAAGTAAGTCACTTAAAGCGGTGGGGTCAAGATATCCTGATTGCTCCGGCGCTCAAGAACATGGGTTACCACACATACGGTAGCGTTGTGAGTCACAACCGCTTGAAATACAAATGACGCTTTGCGACGCTTCCATTGCTGCACCGCCGCAATCGGGACCATCTGGCTCACACCCCCTTCTGTCCTAGTATTTTGAAGCAACAATTCCAGATCAAATTCACGGGGTAAAAAGGTCGATAATGAAGTTGTAATGGCGAGTTGACTGCTAATAGGAAAAAGCGAAGAAAAACGCCGGTGAAGTTCTCAAACGGGGCTTCACCTTCCCTTCCGAAATGGGGAAGGGGCGGTCGGACGAGTTGTCTGGATTGGCGGGCTGTCTGAATTTCTTGCTGGGTCCGGCCCAATGCATTGCCTATTACAACTAGACACATTATGCAGAAAGTAGCAAACATAAGAGGCGCAATGTGGCTCGGAGGGGGCAGTCGCCGCGCGCGATCTCTGCTCGTCCGCGCCCTGTAGTACTAAGCCTAGGAGTGGGCAGGAACTTTGGGAAGATGAAAATTGCTATGATCCTGGAGTTCCTCCTCCCTGCCCGAGGCTTAGTCCCGATTTAGCGAAGAGGAAATGCTTACACAGAAAAACGCAGAGATCGCGCGCGGCGACGGCCCCTCCGAACCACATTGCGCCCAAAAAGATACAATAATTAAATGGTTTAAACACATTGCGTACCGCGTGCGCCACCATGTGGCGCACGATTTTCGCACGAAACAGCATAGTTTAATCTGATTTATTTGACATTTTTCAATGCTCCTGAACTGGTTGCACACATTTTCAGAGCCGGGAAACCATACTTGTTATCACTGATAAAATTGCTGATAGATTAATGATGATACATTTTTGAAAAATATGAGAAATAGACGAATGTACTCATACAACGGCGGTCCGCAATGTGTTAACAGCGAAAAACAGTAGAAAGACGAGGACAAGCAATCGTCCAAGACCTGCATCCCAAGCACGCGGCTCGGGCTAAGGCTAAAGCGGTTGCGGGCCGTCGTAGATTCGGTGGAGCCCGACCAACTTTGAAGGCGTAAGCCTTTCCACGTCTTGTCCAATGCAAGTTTTCAAATCAGTGACATTTCCTATGCACTCAACTAGGGCCAGTGCATGTTTCCACCCCTTAGGATCGAATGGTTGAAACCCTGCTGGGACTGTTGCTTTTAAAAAAACCTTCCTTATACTCGAAAAGCATGCTTATTCCAACCAACTATGAAATTCCTAGTTTAAGGGAACAAGTTGTCATTCATACGTGATTTCAGATGGCAATATGTGATGGAGCTGGAAGCCAACTATCGAGATATAACAATGGATGTGAATGAAAACGACACAGCTATCATACTCATCAAGTCCTCCAATACTGATGGTATGAGCTTGAATGTGCGCATCAAAAGCCTAGTCATGCTTCGACTTGGGTGAGTTCTCAAGAAACAAGCCTAATAAGGTCATCCTTGATATGCGCAACGTGTTCCTCTTCTATGTACAATCGAAGGAGCACTTCAATTAGGAAATTTGGCGCAATGTGGCTCAAGGGGGGGGCAGTAGCCACTGCACGTCCTACATCGCCCACCACGCGCTGCAACTCGTCCGCCGACTCTGCCGTCTTGCCGCGCGACGGCCTCCTGGGGGTGTTCTAGCCAATTAAGGGGGGGGGGCAGGGAGTCGGGGATGAAGGCAAGTCACTTAGCATGCGTGAGAAGCTGGAATGTTTCCGTAATAACTTCGCCTAAACCGCGCGGCGGGCGACTGCCCACCCTTCCGCCCACCCCGAGAACCAGCATGCGCCGCGAAATTTTTTACGAGGTTTATGATAAAAGCGAAAGCAAAATCATCCGGCGTTAAATCCTTTGTTCGGGATATGGCACACATTGCACGTCCTTTCGGAACCACAGTGGCTTTGTGAATGTAGCCTGTCATTCACAATGAACTGCGGGTTCTCCTAGACCAGCATGATGCCAATCAACCGACACCAGAGAGATGGAAGACTTTTTCCATGGACGGTGCACTATTCAATATTTGTCTGGTGGCCGAGCACGTGGTGAGCGGCGCCACTTGCTACTAGACTACCTGCGCCCACCGTTTGGAAATGGGTTGCCGTCTATGTATTACTTATGTATGCCTTCTCGCCGCGATAACCGTACTTTCATCTTGAAATGCGAAGTATTTTCACCATATGTCTCGTACATTTGTGCACCACCCAACTGTGTTGGTTGCTTTCCAGCCCACGCCTCCATGAGAGTAACTAGTAAAGCACGCCAACAAACAAAAACAAAATTAGTGCAGATGCGGGATCGTGTCGGCCAAGTATCTAACGAGTAGAGGTGCAAACAGCTTTTTTCTTTTGCAAAAAGTAGCCTCAGCCTTACGACGAAGGGGTCATACAGGGTTGTGTACCATCAAACAGGGGCCTTTGGTGTCACACCTTTTCACCAGTTTTTCAATCAAAGTCTTTTTGTAAGGGTTACTGACGGTCCTAATCATGAATATGGTACTAATTATTCATGCTAACTCCATTTTGCGCGAATTTTGAAACGTCAACTCGAAATGCAAAAATTTGTCACCACGAGGAATCGAACTAGGGACCCCTTTTTGGTATTCAGAGGGCCGTTCAGGAAAAATGAACCATGGTTCTGTGGTCCCACATGTGCCCCAATGTCATGCAAGAAACCATTTCAAAAAGCTTGGCACACCCTGAACGACCTCCCTTGTTAGGTGGGGGAAGAGAGACTCCAGGGTGCATGCATGTCTGATTCTGCCCAAAGTGTTCTTACACCCTATTAGGCTCAATCTTATAGGATGCCCGTACATATCTGTTAGCGCACAAAACAAACAGAAAGAATATTCAGATCGTGAAGCTCAAAATGCTAACAGTACCTGTGCCCTCGATCTCGACCCGCCTCCTTCAGTGGTTTTTGGTGGTCGTCTTTCTTGAGTGCCTACTGTTGACCCGCAACAACAAATTCATTCCACTCGTCCGAGCTACAGCAAAAGAAAACAGTGGGGCTGGCTCGCTTTCCTCGATCAGTACCCATTACCCCTAAAGCGGCTTGAGCAGTCCGTTGTGCCAAGCCCAACAGGGGTTCTATTTCGCCATGGACAGGCGTAAATTTTTTATGGTTAATCTAATACCACGCTTCGCTTAGTATTTACAGCATCCAATACGGGAACAGCAGTCGAAGTACGCGCGCCCACAATTAAGAGTATTCTGGCGGGACTCTCCGGCACGAAACCCTCCGGCATGAGCACACAGGATCGACGATCGATGAATCTTGGCATCGTGTGTGTATTATTTTAAAGGCAGCGATTACGATAAAGAGGGAGCGCATCGGGGAAGCATATGCACCACACGAATCAGTTACTTGGCTGCCAGGAAGCGAGGTGTGGCGCTTTCACGACGAAAGGTGCGCTGGTTGCTGAGCAGGACTTCGAAAGCACTCCGCCCCAAAAGCGATCCGCCCACTAGTTTAGTTGGTGATTTGGACGAGCTGCGTTGCCAGCAGCGGCACAACTGGAGCACTCGATTGGAGCGTGGTTTGGCATGGTGCCACCAAACGCGTTGCGTGAACTCGTTCATACGTCCGCTTTCTGAGCTGTTACCTGTTCATGAGTGAAACCAACGGCCAAAAAGGGGGTCCCGTTTTGCGTTTTCTTGACGGATTTCTCTGCTTTTTTCGCCACTGGCGTACCATCGATGAACTCTTCTTGAATTATCGTAATCGCTGCATTTAAGGCTTGCTTCTGAAGCCACAAGCCAAGATGATACAGACTTTATTCGGCTAACGTTTCGGCCTTCGTCAGAGCCTGGAAAGTCAAAGATCAGTGCGACCTACCGCAGACATCATTTCTAACTTCGAAATAGTCCCCATAGACTAGAAAAACTTAGGGGGCATCGTAAAACACAAGCACCAGTCGACTCACCTTACGGTAAGTTGCTAAAAACC